AAGTTGAAGTCTGCAATCCGCAGAATTCTTACCAGAACCAGCACCAATATACCCTTGACACTGTAGTTCACTAATCAATAATCCGTTGATTTTTAGCACAACACACAACACACTTTAAAATGAATTCTTTATCACACTTTGAGTTTTAAAACAACATTCACTGTATAAGCTCAAATTTTTAAATTTGTATAGATTTAATTTGTGATTTTTATGTTTTCAAATAATTTAATTTTAAAGTTTTAAGTTGTTACCGCAGACCGAATTAAATAAATCATTCAATACACCGTTGTATACTTATTCAATGCGAACCTAACCGAAAAAAGTATAGGCACAGCTAGAAATTTTATGTTTGAACCGAATTTCTGAAAAAAATATAAAAAAATAAATAATTCTTTATTCAATACGTTATGGCAAATTTTTAAATTTATAACAAAAAAATGAAAAAAAAATTAAACAAAAATTTTAACGCAAATTCGGTGCGAAAAAAGTTTGAAGCAGCACATGTTTTATCTTAATATATAAAAAAATATTAGCAGCTAATATAAAATAGGTATTCCTTTTCGTTTCAAAGCTCCTTCTAGTCTGTTAGACATTGAATTGACTAGATTTTGAGTAATACTTGGTTGAATATTTGCCCATTCGTTTGCTAAAACTTCCTTTAATTGTGTCTTAGATGTAATGTGATGAGTTCGAACCCTTTTTTCTAAAACATCCCATAAATGTTCAATGGGATTAATATCTGGAGATTGGGGAGGTGTTTTGAGAGTACTGGGAACATTATATAATATCCACTTCCTTACAATATGTGCAGTGTGATCGGGTCAAATGAAAATGATTTCCAAGATCTAAATTGATTGCACTTTTTTTAAGATGTTCCTTAAGAATATTTATGTACATCATCTTATCCATTATTCCTTCAATAAACATAAGCTTTCCAACTCCAGATTCTGCCATACAACCCCATACGATTACTCCACCACCTCCATATTTCACTGTTGCACATAAATTTTCTTTATTCAATGTTACATTTTCTTTATTCAATGTTTCGCCACACTTTAATTCGACCGTCACTTCTGTAAAAATACCGATTTTTGAGATATTTTTTTTTTTTTTTGATGGGAACAAGTTCAACATTTACAGCAGTGACGATCGAGTTCAACATTTACAGCAGTGACGAACGAACACGGGAGTTGAGTCACTTTTTGATTTTATCTTGAGCACTATCCTCACATTATGTAATAAAGGCTCAAAGTCCTCTTTCATTACTAAAGATAGGCAGGAGGTTATAGATTTAGCCATTGCCCCACAAACTATTGGTGACTTGGTAAAGAATAGGAAAACATTGCAAGAGCATTCCTTTTTGAACCATCGCTATATAGAATTTTCAATTCGTTGCTGTGCAGAATTCTCCTTTTTTTCAGAAACCACAAGCGGACAGATTGGATGGGGCTCCGAGATTTGCTAAGCGACCTCCTGAGACGCGGAGTTCCTTTGCGTCCAAGAACGCCTGGACAGTGTCCTTTAACTCGGATAAGACGCAAAAGGAAACCACAATCGTGCTCTGAAGAGTTAAACACCTTCCGTAAAATATGTAAAACTCAATTTAAGAAGCGAAGGTCACCAAAACGTCAGTTCCTGGCTTTCTGAGCACTCTGATAGGCAACATACAGTCAGACAGAACCATCAGGACTAACTTTTGGGACATTGAGCACTCCGTTAGTAAGGGAACCGCGCAAGAAGGTGTACTTTCTCTTCTTTGGAAACTGGTGATTAATCTGTCTGGAGGTATGTCTGGAGGAGGAGGGCTACAAGGTGATAGCTTACGCTGACGGCTTGACGGTGCTTGTGTCTGGGAAGCACCCTCATGTCCTAAATAAGCTCTTGATTGAGCTGCCGGCTGCGAGCTGACTATCAACCCACAAAAGACGGAACTAGTTATTTTCAGCAGGAGATACAAGATACCAACCATAGCTCAACGAAATCCGCAAATTATCCATTATCAAGGAAGGATTCGTATTTGAATTGGAAGTCCATCATTACGGGGCGAGTAAAAAGTGAACTATTGCGCTTTACTCGTGTGAAGAGGTCATCAGGAAGGGGTGGGGCCTGAAACCAATCATAATTTATTGGTTATACACCGCAGTAGTAAGGCTTATCCTGATGTACGGTATTCTAACGTAGGGGCCAGCGCTCAGTACAGCTGTGACCTTAAGATTGGTAAGCAAAATTCAAAGAGTAGCAATAGTCTGCATGGGTGAGATATTATGCACCACTTCTACGCAAGCGCTTGAGATTCTCTTCCATCTGCCGCCATTAGATGTACTGAGTCGGCATTAGATTTACTGGGATGGCGAGAGAACATATTTCCGTTCTTGCGGACTGGAGACACGTGGTGGGAACAATTGATTATATTTCCCCTGTATTCTCATTCGCGAGGAACTTTGGGACCTCGTTTCGCTTAGGCAAGCCTTGCTGAGCGAGGAAGCATTTGAGGGCGGATCCATCCTTTTTTACATGGACGGATTCAAACTCGAAGGCACGGTAGGTGGGGGAGCAACAGTGGGATTCTGGGGAACTGTAAGGACGCGAGTTTGCGAGACATGGAACGACTCTTGGAATTCCACCTGAAAAAGTCTGATCTCTCTTAGACGAGAGGGTATCAATGCTGTGGTAGGGGTTTTGACGGGCCATTGTCTGATTGGCGAATATGCAAGGAGAATGGGATACCTCGCAAACGATCTTTTTAGAAGTTATTGTGATGAAGGAGAGGAGGAAATGGTGACCCACCATCTATGCTTATGTCCGGGACTGGTGGGCTCTAGGCTGAGGTTTCTTGGGCCTTATTTCTTCGGACACGCTGCGAACTTAGCGGATGTAAGCGTCAGGGATATGGTTTTGTGGAGTTTCGGCTGGTTTGAATGAGGCGCTGAAAAGATGAGATCTGGCAGTACCACAACGGGCCTAGTTGGCCCATGTGTACCCTTCGGGGGACCGCGACAACCTAACGTAACCTAACCTAGAATTATATTTTTTTTCTATTAATACAGCTTGCTGCAACCATTCAACAACGTCTATTTTAATTATTTATCAGTTTTTTAGAAAGTCTCATTGAGGTTTCCAATCAATACGATTGGAGGCATGATACTGAATTCCTAAATAGGTTTCTTTAGTTCTCTATCCCTGATTGCAGTCGTTCTAGAACTCCATTCCACATGTTTATTATTATAGCCACTTCCTATGAAAAATGTATTTACACACTCACATAGGAGATCCTTAAAAAATCTTCCTCCTTTTTGCATCTCGGTAGACAATGTACTCAATCAACATTGAAGTTCCTTTTAATACCATTAATTTTAATCATACTAAGTTGAAATTTCTTTATTTCTGTTTTGCGTTCTTCATTATGCTTTGTGATGTCCTTTACTTTAGTAAGCTATTTTAATAGCATGATTTCCTTTTATCTGAATAAATATTGCTAAAACGAATTGCAACAGCACACATACATACGTTATATACATCTTCCTTATTTCTAGTTTAAAAAAGAACCTACAGTTATAAATATGAGACAATTCGTCTTTCGTTTAAAGACATTTATTACAAATCTTTTTAGAGTTTGCGATACTTTAGTATATCGGCTTTACACAGTAGTTGATATCATTCAGATTTCGTCAATTCTTAGTAAGAAGTCTTGTATCATGCACTATCATATTGCACTATGCTATTGTCAATTTCTTTTTAAGCGTTTCCTTTATATTACTTTCTGAAATTTAGATGCTAATTATGAGTATGTTACTCCTCTTACGTTATTACTTTGTTTGATATGAAAATGTTAATCTTTTTTTAGAGTCGTCCTTTTCGTAATTCTTCTTTGTCGTATTTCGTTACCTGCTAAACGTCCTGAATAACTAGCGAGAAGATTTCACATATACATCAATATATATTTGTATCCTTAGACTATTCTTAGATTCACATGACTCATTCAGTTTTCTGACTGTTATTTTGCATGGTTTTGTCAATTTATTTTCGAATATGTGCTATTTTAGTTTTTCTATTTCAGTCAATTGTCAATACTCGTTTTCATTTTCATCATTTATTTTACATATTGATCATTAATTATTATTTTTATCTTATGGACATCTAAGATGTCACATCTTCATACACATATTTTTCTCTTTAAGGATTTTAGTTACTTGTTAATTTTAAGGATTTTGTTACTTTTGTTTTGTTACTTAATTTGTTATACTTTCCTTGCGTTTATATGCGTTTATTTGTGTAATTGTGAAAATGAGTAGATAGGAAATTATATTAGAGAAAAAGGGAAATATAGACTCTACTGCCAATCTATATAACTAGTAGTTCTAATGTTCAACAGAAATAATAGATGACAAAATAATTGTAAATGAAATTTTTATTTGTCAAAAAAAAATCGATGCCGGTGCTGAAATGAAAATTTTTCATTATAGTACGCTTTGATTAAAGAAATATGTATTTATATTCAAAAAGAAAATAAATAAACCGTTCATCAAGTTACAGTTCTCATTTCATACAATTAATAACGGAGGTTATGCTACAACACCAAATTTCGCATGTCAAGTTTGCAAAAATATTCACTTCTTCGTGATAGAGAAATATTATAAACTTTTTCTTGATATGTTAACTAAAGGCTTGTTGATTAACATAAATCTTAAAAGAAGTGCTTTAAAGATATTTTTGCAATCTTATGCAACACTTTCACCAAACAAAAATTGACTTTACGGTCGGTTATGTATAAGTCACCCCAATTTTTTTTTATTAGTTTTGCTTACATAATAACAACACTTTTATATTTCGATAACATTTTGCTTAATTTAAAAACTTTTCGACACGAAACGTAATATATGGTAATTTGTTGTTCATATGCAACCGGCTTGACATTTACATATTTTGGTAGTACCCTAGTGTTTACATCAAGATATTTCTGATATCGATATCGACATTTGATTTACTGCTTTATTACAAAAGGGCCACATCACTAAAAACCAAAAAACCGCAAATTAAAAAACTGACGTTATTGTAATCATCAAGAAGTTACTAGGTAAGTAACAATTAAAATTGTAAGTAATTCGCTATATTTTCATACATATGTACATATGTAATTTTTCTATGAACATTTCAGAATTTTAAAAATTATAGTTTAAAAAAATGCCGAAAAATAAAAAAGAGAAAGACACTTCGGACTCTGATTCTGGCCCAGAAGATGTAAATGATAGTCGCAATTAGTCTACATATTTAATTTAACTGGCTCTTAAATATTTTTTATAGAGAAACCCTCCAAGCAAAAGAGGTAAAATGATTGAAAATAGTAGAGATTCAAAAGAGGTCGCACACAAAAGACAATGGGTACTTGAAAAGTTGCGACAGGTAAATATTAGTGAATTCAGGGGCAAAAAGATGGTCGATATACGAGAATTTTATGAGAAAGATGGGCAAATTTTGCCTGGAAGAAAAGGAATTTCTCTATCAGTTACACAGTGGAAAATGTTGCTTAATTATGCGAATGAAATAACAGCGGCTGTTGAAGATCTCTGATAAATAAATTTTTGTTACAAGTAAAAAAAATCTTTATTTGATATTTGTAAAATATAAAAGAATGGAAATGCTAAAAAAAAATTTAATTATTCAAGTGAATAATTTTTTTAACATTTTGAAGTGGATGTACCTTTCGTTTCAGGAAATGGAAAAAGTCAATATGCGATTTTGAGCAAAAATTTTCAATACATGTATAAATAGAACAATTGAACCCACGCACGATTTTATTATGCACAGCTGCACCTTTTATAATTGTACACAGCAAATACATCTGCAATTTTAACAAAGTTTCGCAAAGATAATATTTCACCTATATTCTGTTATTTGCATTACTTGATTCAAAAAGTTTTATAATTTTCTTAATAAAATCAATTTCGAAATGTAAAATTCTATGATGAAAACCAAAATATTTTTCCAATAATATCGCGTCACTTTAAGTACGGCGAATAACAGAATATGGGTGCATAATTCAAGACGCAATGAACCAATATCACGTATTTTAATACATAGAACTAGCATTCACACATGGATACAATTGTATCCATTTGGATACATTTTTTGCTTTAAATTTATCGTGGATACAAAGATACTCAAAACTGCTAAAACGTAGAAATTGGCTACATTTGAAAATTTTGCTGCAATATGGATACATTTCTTTCTAAAACACTTAAATAAATATTACAAAACTTTTAAATTGCTGCGAAATTGCTTTAGCTTCTAAAAAATGTTATTTGCTGGCTTTACTGAGCAGATTTATAAAATTTGTAAGAAGTAAGAAATATATTTTATTAAATGAGTACCTCCTCTTCCTGTATTTAAACCTAGAACATTAAGACAAGAACGTACCAGAAATATTTTGATGTAAACTAAGTGTAACACAAAATGAATTGGCTGTACAGTTTATAAAATTTGTCGGTTTTCATGGTGAATCGCCTTTACGACATAGTTCAACACCCGCGTGATGTACACATACATATATATTTTCTGACCTTAACTTTACATTTAAAATGCAGTAGAAATTGCGTGTGATTTCTTGAAGAATTTACTATAAATAACAAAACTTACATTGTTAAAAAATGCAAAATTATATTATGAGTTTGTTTGTACAAAATAAGACTAAGTATAATTTCTACTTCAAGAGACTGGATACAGTTTGCTCTCGAAATTGGATACATTTTATAATAATTGAATAATTTTATACATAAACTTGCTCCACGTAAATTCTGCGTCGATATACATGTCAATCTGTAGAAGACACAAAAAAACCCTAAACTTTCAAAAATTGATTCTTTTTTAGTAAAGTCGGTTGCAAATTGTAACTAGTCCTAGCTGAGGTAGCTGCAACACAACCATAGGTGCCAATATTTAATACAATTTAATAAAATAAAATAAGCTAAATGAAATTGTACCATGTGCTCAATTATAGCTCATATATCCTTAAAGCTTTTCTTTGGAATGGCTTTATAGTTTTGAATATCTGCTATAAAATCCGAAAAACTAATATTAAATATTTAGAAAATTAATAAATCTACATGGAATTCGGCAGTTATGCACCGAATAATATCTCAGACATATTCTTGAAGTTTTTGTTAAATGGCTTGACAGGCTCGATTTCATACAACCCAAACAAGAATAATAACCAGTCATGTGTTTAATTGTACCCCAGATATGTGCTGGAAATTCTAACAAGTTCTGATAGTTGCCAGTAAGCTATAAAAGCTTAAATATATACACTTTATTAAAACTATATTGTGTAGTCAGATTTTCAAGGTCAGTTTCCATTCTTCTTATACTCATAATTACATATTACATATCTATGTATGTATATATTTTTCATGTGTAATCTATGATATGCTTCATAATTCATAAAAAATTATTGCAAATTATTTCATATTAAAAGTTCATATAATTCTTTTTAGATATGTACAATCAGTCAAAAAAATATTCATACACTAAATGATTCTGTATATTTTTAGCTCTAGATCTTAAACCGTTAAAGATATTCAATTAAATTCTTTAAGTTTCTTTTCTACGGCAATCATTTGTTTAGTACAAACAAAATATAACTAATTAATAAAAAATAATTCAACAAAAACATTAAAACAAAACGAAAAATTAACAAAAAATAACATCAAAAACGTATTTATACAGTAATATTATCATTCACGTTATCCAAAAAAAAAGTTGGTAAGAAATTGTTATTAATATATTGTTTAGTTGCCGTTTATTTAAACGATTTTTCATACTAACAACCAATTTGAAAGTCTCTTGAGGTGTTATATTTGTTCATTAATTTAAAAAGAACTCCTCTAAGCGATGTTGCTGACGTAATTTCATGTTTTCTAATACACCGTTCCAATAAACCCCACAAATTTTCTGTTGGGTTTAGGTCAGGTGTCGATGTAAGCGTAACTTAAAATTTAGCCATTCTTTAACGATTTTCGCACAATGTTTAGGGTCATTAACTTGTTGAAACATGAATGATCGCACATTAAAACCCATTTCTTTCGACACTTGGTTTTATATCACTTTTCAAAATATTTAAATACCCATTGTTGTATATAATGTTATCAATAAAAACCAGGTTGCCAACTCCAGCAGCACTCATACAGTCTCATACAATCAGCATTTGGATTCTTTATTAAAAGCAATATATGGTTTTCGCTACTCTTTTGGATTCCAAAAATCATTCGGTTATTCCAAAAATTATTCGGTTTATTTGAGCACTCTTTAGCAAATTTAAGTCGTTTTGCTTTATTGATATTTCATATGAAAGATTTTTGTCTAGGTGAACGTTCATTAAAACCAACATTTTGTAATATATTTCGAATTGTTTGAAGATTGCAGTTCTTCTCTGATAAATCTTTCATTTTTTGCTGAATAGAAAGAGCTGAAATTTTTGGTTATTTTTTTACCATGTTGATAGTAACTCGCTATTCTTTCGAAATGAATATTTTTGGTCGATCAGTTCGGGACTTAATAGTTGCTGTTCCGTTTTCTTTGTAAACTTTTATCACATATTGGACCGTGGCATTACTTATACTCACACTGGCTTTAATTTCTCGAAGAGATATTTGCTCCAAATTTATGCGTTTTATTAATAGATATACTTTGGTTTTATCCCAGAAAGACCTATTATCTCTTCCTTTTTAAAATTTTCTATAAATTGTTAATAACTATTGTTGTATTGTTAACAGGTAACTAAGTGGTAAAGTAGCAAAATCTAGCTATAAAGACAGTATTCAAAAAAATGCAATAATTTATTTTAAAAAATATAGTCCACGGAGAAAGAAAATAAATAAATATAAAAATTTTTCAACATAATTTTGTTTTGTTGCAGTTACATAATAAAAAATTTTAACTAATGCATAAAAAACAAATCAGCGACTACACGACATCTGGGGGCTCAAATATAAAACTTTACTTTACTTTCGATTCGAGGGTGTCGGCGCCATGCGAAAATATCTCGAAGTTTTCTTTATATGGAAATAATTTTTTTCTATTGAAATGTCTAGTTACATATTAATCTAAAAGTTGCCAAAAATTTTAGATTTCTAGGACTCTTGGTCTAGAAAAACGATGTCAAACATTTGGAAAAAGGAAGTTTTAGGTAAAGGTTAATTTTAACAGCTAGTTTGTTTTTTTAAAGGTATGCGGCGGCGAAATTTGAAAAATGCTTATGGTTCCGCATAAGCATTTTATAATTTTTAAAGAAGAGATAGGTAAAAATTCTTCTACGGAAATAAAGTATAAGTCGCCCTCCCTCCCCCAAAAAATTTTTTGCTGGAAATTTATCAAAGAATCATCCCTTAAATTATTTGCCACATTATTTTACACTGTTTAAATACGCGTCGTCTCATACATTAACAACGTCTACAATAGTACATAATATTATGTATAAGAGCTTTGCCAAATTGCTTTTAATTTTGATTTATTTTGATAAATCCCGAAAGGGTTAAAAACACGTACCTTAAATAAATAATTACTTTTTGTATAATTTCAATAATATTTATTTAAATTCAATATACATATCTGGAATGATCAAATTTAATTTTATTTCATATTAAAATTAAGCTAGAGTGGGAAGATAGGGAAAAGCAACATTTACCTATAATTGCAACACAGTTTTTTTTCTAATTTGATTTTCTTGATTTTATATTCCTTGTTTTAATATATTTAAGAGAACAACAACGCTTAATACATAGTTTTTTTATTTATCGTAGATCTGCACTTTCATCATTTGCTTTCTTAATTCTCAATAAAATTGTTGTGTACCATTGATCTAGTCTTGAAATGCTGTCATAGTCTTTAACTGTTTCGGTAAAACCTTCAATATCCTGTTCTTCCAAATGTTCACATAATTTTTTAACCAATTTGCACTCTCGAGAGTCCTGAAAAGCTGGATATTGCTGAGCATATTTTTCTAAAGCATGCTGAGCATTTAATAAATCGACACTTAAGTGACAAAGAGCAGCTCTAAAGAAATATTCCTTGGCACAATGCTTCAACAAAGAGCTTTCAAGTGATGAGGTAGCAACCTGTTCATAAATTTGTATGGCCTTATCGTAATCTTCCATCTGCGCAGCATATTGGGCGACTTTTAACATACATTTGTTAGCAGAACTATTCGATTCTTCACCTTTAAAATAATCAGCAGCTTGCTCATATTGCTGGATTGCTTTAGGTAAGGTATTTTCATCAGATTCATACATTTCAGCAATAGTTTGGTGATGTTTCGCGGCCATTGTAAATCTTCCCATATCAGTATATATTTCAATAGCTTTGATCAAACAATTTGCTGCTCCATCCACATCCGTCTTCTTAAAACAATTTGCAGCATCAACATACATAGTAGCTGCGTCATGGCGGCTTCCAACTCTTGAATGTAAATTGGCTGCTTCACAAAACGCCTGGCCTGCTTTATTCCAATTCTTACTCATTTTGAACATATTTCCAGCTCGCTGATAACATTCTATAGCTTCATCTACTTTATTCCCTCCTCCAAATATTCCACCCAAAAAACCTTTGGACTGCAATTTCTTCTCTGCGTCAACCATGAGCTGCAACGCTTTCTGTTCATTATCTGCCATCTTTAATCTTTTTAAAATTTAATTTTAAATTCCAATGGTGATTTTTGTTTTTATTTTAATTATTTCGATATGTATAATCCTTTGGGAAATTTTGATCTAAAAAAAAAACTGTTAAAAATAGAAACAGAGCAATTATTCCTTCGATTAACCTGACATTTAATACATGCCTAATTTAATATCAGCAGTTATTGATTATCCTCAAAATTGATTTTGTTATGTGACTAGATTCGAAATCGGATTATTTTATTTTATTTGATTATTTTCATGAGACTCATTTTTTTAATATTTAATATATCACTTATATCTTCTTAATTTAACAATAATTACAATTTTTGAGAAAAAACAAAAAAATATTAGCCCTATTTTCCCATACCTATGGTACTAAATAAATTTTTAACCATTTTATTTCACCCTATTCACAATTAAATGACTTATGTATTATTAAAAGTGAATTAGAAGTGCTGCCACTTTATATTTGAAAATAAAACATCAATTTAGCAATATGAAAGATTATGACAATCCATCTAGGGTCGAGTAAATAAAACATAATTTGTATATTTTAGTACAACATTCCGTTACCATTTTGTTTCACAACGCGGTACTAAAATTTTTAAAAATGTATATACTAGTACCAGTAAGATTTGTAACGCTTGCAGAAGAAATAACACAAAAAGAAAACGAAAAAACAACATGCAGAAAAAAACAAATGCATTCTGGGAGTATACAGTTTGTATTGGAAAAATAACTTTCACGGCACCAATGTTCCATTTCCAAGAGGAACGACCTCTTTCAAAAATGAGGCTACTTTCACACTAAAAATAAAGCAAAACTTATGACCTTTTTATAAAAAATAAGTCCTTAATATATTCTTTTTTATATTCTTTCCAAATCCCTTAATTTTTCCTCTCTCTTGTTATTACATTAGATAATGGAGTAAAAAAATTAATAATCCAAAAAATAATAATAATACATAAGAAAAAGTAAGAGAAAAAACTGGCATACTATGATAAAGAATTAAAGAGTAAATGCCAAATGTAAAGTATGTATACAATCAGTGTTGTCCTTTTTGCTGCCATTGTAAAATTCTGCTGTAAGTTAACACCATTTGTTGCAACACTGTAATTTGTTTACATTTCCTGCAACAAAAACAAATTTATTTTGTTCTTTCGTTTTAATGTTTATTTGAAGTTCTAAATCAAAATGTCACAATAATGATTCAAAAAAATTATATGCGCCAACACTGATATAATTTCTGTCTTTATATCTAACAAGTCCCCCCATACTCAATTTTTTTTACGAAATATTACGAATTTTTGGCCTCGTTGCTGGCTTTTTCTTTAAATACCACTGATCGTGTCATATTTTTTATTAATTTTTTTTTTTTTTTAAGTAAAAAAGAGTTTAATATTTTAAAAAATCTCAGGATATTATACACATTTTTTAAAAAGCTTCCCATTTAAATTCTGTTGCACGAAAAAGAAAGAAAGGTAGGAGGAAAGAAAAAATGAAAAAAATTTTCAAATTTATATTTCAGTATGGTTTCAAATGTTAATGAGGAAGGTTGAATGATTTTTTATGCACATTTTGTATTTCCCAATAAGGTAAGTTGAGTAGTGTCGGCTAACAAAAATGTTAATAAAATTAATATAGGTTGACACATTTCAACAATTTGAATTATCTCATTTTGATTATTTATACGTTACTTATAAAATTGTTTCAAATAATTTCAGTTAGTTTTTAAGTTATTAAAAATAAATATGTATGTACCTACTTCCAATAATTTTTTTTTTAAATAATTATTTTAAAACTTTTTCAAACATGTTATATTGAGTGCTTCAAAAATTTTGCTGTGCTATTTTTTCATATTTTATTACCAGGTAAACAAGAGCAATCTATTTATAAGATGTCCCTGCATGTGTATGTATGACTTATCTTAATTCTAAAGGGAAAGAATTTTAAAATACCTGAACAAAAATTTTAAAATACCTGTTATTTTACAGTCGGAATTTTTTAGTCGTTTGGTAAAATACCATTTATTTCAAAAATAGAAAAATATTCAAATCCGGTCATAAAAATATATGATTGTTTTTTCCAAACATTTTAAATATTTTTTTTTCTTAGGTAATTGATATAAATGATAGTAAATTTTTAATATTTTTTCAAATAAAAATAGAGGTAAAATTTTGAAGTTTATATAAAATTTGTATTTAACAAATAATATTTGATTGTATTTTAGATATTATTTTCTAATTCCCTCTTCAAATTTTTCCTTTACTATGTATTTATATCAATATTCAATAATTATCTTTCATTAATTATATTTTCAACTTGACACTACAGTTACTTCCCATATCTTGAGTTAGCTTACCCTATTAGAAAAAAAGCTGTTCACTTAAAAATAATGAAATGCTTTCAGTAACATATAAAACGTTGAAGGTGAAGGATGTGCTTGTTGTTTTTCCACTTTTTTTTAAATTTTAAAATAATTATCAATGAAAATATTAATATATTTTTTTGATTTTTCAAATATATTTTCTAAATTTTACCTGCTTTATAATAAGTGTGAATTTATTTTAATATTTCTTCTCAAAAAATAGCCAATTCGATTTAAAAAAACCCATATCAAATAAGGTCGTGCTTTCAAGTTTCTCTCTGAGCATTGGGACTTGTTAGATATAAAGACATTGTTTAAAGTATATCGAAATTCGCGATGTAGCTTTTATAATATAATAAAATTGGGCCACACCAATGGTTTGTATTGCAGTACTTTTCCCTTCAATAAGTGAAAATACTGCTTCTGAAAACAGTTTAGGATGCAAAAAAATTCTTTTTTAAGTTGTATAAAAAGAAAACTCCCTTTTATTCGGAATGAAATACTTTTTATTTTTGCTAATATTCACAAGGAAGGTGAGCAGTTCAGGGAGATCATTTCCGCTAACGGCCTCAACAAGCAAAATTTTTAAGTGGCTCGTTAAAAGGTTTGAGGAAATGAATTTCATTTCTTGCTCCATTAAAAATAGAGAGGAATTTATAGAAAAAATAAAAAACGTAAAGATTGGACCTGATGAATTAATGGTATCGTTCGATGTCAAGGCGATTTTTCCCAGTGTTACGAAGTACTAAAAAATTTGAAAGTATGGTTATCAACACAAACATCAGAAACAGAAAATTTAATCAGATAAGATGTAAACTTCATTTTGGACACGGCTGTGAAGAACAGTTATTCTATTGAATGTATTTGCAAGTTCATTAGGAGGAAAAAACGAGAAATTGAGCAGGAGAATATGAGCACGTTGTTTAAACAGAATAGGTTATTGGAAGAACAAAGAACAACATGGGCAACTTCACTTATGATCATCACACTACAAATTTGATAAATAAGCAACTAGAGAAACACAATATTCGGACATCGAAAACCAATAGTAAATACCGACTTAGGAACTTGTTAAATTCGACTAAGGATAAATTGAAGAAACATGAAACATGTGGTGTGTACAAAATCAATTGCAATAATTGTGACAAATTTTACATATAACAAACGAATACATATAACAAGAACCAGGTCCATCGATCGGAAAACAGAAACCTGTACTCCTGGTCGAAGTTTTACCGCGGCAAGCAGGCATTCGACATGGTTATTCTTAGAGTTGGATCGCTCTCAATGAAGTCTCTGTGAGTCTAAATTACACATGTCGGACATGTCTAAATTAACGCAGAATTTTACGCTGAGCAAGAATATATGTATATGTCCATACCGCAGATGACTCCTTCAAGTAGTTACAAACTCCATACCAAAGTTAATATAACCTTCACGAAGTGCAGGGTATAAAAAGTGATCACATTAAGTATGAAAACTAACCAGCTAAATGGTACGCAGTTAAAAAAAAAACACATTAACAATAAGAAGAATAAGAAGCTGATAACATGAAAATTTAAAAAAAAATAAGCTCTACAAATGATGCAATGTGTCTTCAGAATGATCTTAAGCGCTTCTAAGGCTGGTGCTCAAGTAATAACCTAAAAATCAATGTAAGTAAATATACACAAATGTGCTACTCTAGGCAAAAACGGCCACTTCTTACAAACTATACTTTCAATGGCCAAGCTCTTATGGGAGTTGATTCAATAATGGACCTGGGTGTTTTTTTCGATAGCAAGTTATCATTCATAAGCCACTACAATCATATCATATGCAGATCAAGCTCGATGTTAGGTTTCATTAAACGCTGGTCAAAGGAGTTTAATGTTCCTTATGTCCTAAAATCGCTCTACACATGTAGAGCGACATACAGATAGGGTATGGTCACCTTTTTACGATATAAATATTAATAGGATTGAGTCTATTCAAAAAAATTTTTTGAGGTTCACATTTATTCTTCGTTAGCGCCGTAGAAATAGTTCGGGAAATAAATAAAATAGGCTTAAAATTGTACCTATTGCAAAGTTTGATGCGTCTGCTTATACCCGTACGAACGTATGCTCGAAGGGTATAATAAATTTGCTTTACCGATTGTAACGCTAAGAAAAATTATGCTCTGAGATATAGACTCAAGTGTATGTTTTTGATCAGAGTTGAATTCTGAGTTGATTTTGCTTTGTATGTCCGTCCGTCCCTCCCAGCGATAACTCAAAAATTAATTGAGCTAAGTTCACCTAATTTCCACAAATGATTTATTGTAGTAAGTGTCAGAACCTTATTTAAATTAGACATCATCGGGGTACTGGTTCGAGTAGCTGTCTTATAACTTTAAAATTTATTTGGCTATATCACATAAAATTCGTTAAAATTGCATGGCTCTTTCTGGTAGCTGCCATAAAACTTTAATAGTAGTTTGGTACACACAGTATTTTGAGAAACACAGTACTGAAATTTTGCATAAATTAATATACGACAACTTAAATCAGTCAGTTATGGTATATCTATTCGCACATAGGATAACAAATTCGTACGGTTATCAAAGAGTTGACAAGGTCAATTCTATTTTTTCTCGTTTTAATTCGAAATCATTTTTTGGATCAGGATACTAATATAAAATATTTTCGATTGAAATCAACGCATTTTATTAAATCCTTCTAAAGCTTTAGTATTTAAAAAGATTTTTTTATATTTGAATTTATTTTTGAGAACTGGACCGTCTTCTCTTCTCCTTGACAAATCGTCTATAATATCCTAAAATGCATGAAAATTAACGTAATTGTTTTAAATTTGTTGGTGGAGGAAATCGTTGGTGAACACTAGTGAATTGTATGGTGCTCAAAATGGCCTAATTATTCCCTCCGTTAATAGATCAGAAGTCTGTCCTGCAGGCTGTTGGCCATTCGATATGGATGATATTTCGTGAAAATTGAATAATCAGTTGTGGTTTTGTTTCTAATTGTTTAATTTTGATTTTTTTAAATGTCTTTTATATTTATTTACTTTATATACATATATGACTGCAGATAGCTCTTTTAAGCTGGCTTTTCCTAGTATACCATGAAAACTTTTTAATATTGATAATAGAAAAAATTTTAATTTATCTTTTTCACCAAATAAGTTTATGTAGCTGTGTGAATTTATTTCGATATTATACATAATTTTTATATTTTTTCTTTGAATACTGTGGTCTGCATTAATGGCCTCCGAACAAGTCAAAGGTTTTGGTGCTGATGGTCTAGGTAGTGGTTGTTGTTGTGTTTGATAATTAAATTGTCTAAAATTTGAAAAGTTGATCAAAATGTTTGGAAATTTTTCTTTCAAATTTAATATTTGAATGTTGATTATTTTTATTTTGGAAATGTGGTTTTTCTTGTTGTGGTTGGGCATGATAATTATTGTCATTTGTGTTTTGCGTTTTCGAATTTTTATAAGCATAATCACTCCTACATGTTTGGTTTTCCAATTTTAAACATGGGTTTAGAGCCTGTGGTAAGTCAGCAGGTTCTTAATCTAACAATCATTGTATCCTCTCAATCTTCTTGTGAAGGTATCGAGAGCCTTATCTCTATGTATTTGTGCTAAAACACGCATTATGTTATTATCTATTTTGTAACAAGGTAAAATATTTAATATTAATGCTAAGTGCGAATATACTTTCTGATAATAATTTTGTATCATATCAGATTCCTGTACCAAAGTGGTCATCTGATACTCCAACGAAATAAGATTTCGTTTGCCAGCATAGTGTTCGCTTACATATTTTGAAATTAGTTGCCAATCAAGTGGACAATCATACGATTGCAAAACATTATTGTCTTGTCCCCAAATATTATTTCAAATAACATTTATTACTTCGAAGTATTTTACTGTTTGTTTCTTTCTATCGCCTTCGTATATTTCTAATATGCGCTCGTAGCTTTGTTTCCTAGAGGAAAACTCTCCTGGATTTTTTCCATTAATTCTAATAAACTATTTTTGAATTGTGGTGCAATTGTTTAATCACCTACAGGTGTATCCTCAGGCGAATTCATTATACTCGACATTACAGCTTTTGTTTGTGTTTCAACGATTTCCTAAATGAGTTTAGTTAATTGTTCCCTATCCATCTCGATATATTTATTTTGCGCAGCTGTGGGAATTTAAAATTTAGTAATGCTGGTTTTATGATAGATTTGTTATAGTTGTTACTCATTATCCATGTGTTATAATGAGCAATTTATTTATTCTTACGAGTATAAATGAATGAGAATCAAGATTAAAAAATTTTTATAAAAGAATATGATATTATACAATATATCTTTATAATTATAATTTGTGATGTAAAAAATTTAAAAAAAATTATTTATGTTTATTATTTATTTTTCCTTTTTCTTATACACTGTCCTGCCCACCACGTAGCGAGAGCAACTCTTATTTTCCTGTTATGATTTTTGAAAAAATGTATAGAGTTTCTATGAAGAAAAAAAGTTATCACCGTCCTTTTATGTTTTAAGTTCTTAAATCTAAAAACACCTAAAAATATTTTTATATAAATAAATTTTGAAGTTTTATTTTGTTGTTTGAAATAAAATAAAAAGTAAAAGAAGGAAGTTTGCATTCAAAATAAATTTTATTAAAAATTATAGAAAATAAAGCGATACCTTCTCATTGCCATTCAAAAGAGTACTGAGTTGAATTACGAAAAAAAATTAAAATAAATTTTTAAATTGAAAAAATTTCTTAGGGTAAATTCACCAAACTATAAGCATATTTCACTTCTATACGAAACTTTACTGAAAAAAACCTCATGTTGAAGAAAATATTGGTATTTCCAATAATTTGGAAATAGTGCTAACTTACAATTAATATAAAATATATTCGACAAAACAAAAATTTGAAATCTACCAAAATAGATGTTTGGTAAAAAAAGTACTTTCGAAAATCGTAGACACACTTTCTAAAGCATAGTTAAAAATTGTGTATTAATGCAACAAAAATATTTCAAGTTTGAAAAAAATTTTAGCATAGAAATAATAGTTTGTTGTTATTACTTGTATTTATGTATAAATATATATGTGTATATATATATATATATTACTTACATAATTTAACTAATAAATCTGCAAAAATAGAATTTTTAAAAATTTATAATTCTGCAAAAAAATATTTTTAGATTTCAGTTAGAAGTTTCAGTTTAGAACATAAAAGAAGCGATTAAATGAATTTAATTGCTCATTTTCTTATAACATTCGAAAATGAAAATAAAAAAAGTATTAAGAGAACAAAAAAGACATATATTTTTAATACTTTTTTTTTTAAACCAAAAAATAATTTCAATAGAAAATAAATTGAAAAAAAACATACTAATTAAATCAAAGTTGACCCGATTAAAGCAATTTGGAAGTTTTTTTAATGCAGTAGCCTTATACTTTCCAGCGCAGTGGTTATTTTGCCGTTAAATGCCATTGATAATAACCCCTTCATGATAGTTCGTTTTAAAAATTGTGCCTTCCTTTTTATTGTAATGACCTAAACTGGTTTGTGCGGTAATTTGCACTCTTCTCGTTACAAACAAGGTCTTAAATTCGTACATTTTTAAAATTTTGTAATCGGAAAATATTTTTTTGTAACATGTACATATATAAATTTTTGCAATGCCGACAAACACAGCCATTAAGGCCGCAGTTAGGTTAGCGACTAGATGTATGCCTTTAATTACACACAAATGTAAAGACACATATTTACACATAATACTCATACCGGTTTTTCAGGTTTTCCTGGATCTAAATTGAAATGATCCGCAAAAACCAATAGGCTCATAATTTAATATCAACAAAAACCTTGTTAAAAGTATTCTTGTAAAAATAAACCTTAGTATTTAAGTTTTCCTGAGAATCCGGGAAAGCTTTATTAAACCATTGCGGAACCCAAGATATATAATGTTATACATTATAGAACCTTACCAAAACATCTTGAATGATGATTATCATTATTTGTATATGATAGTTTTTTGTGATCATTATGTGTATATGATATTTGTTTTGTGATAGTTTATTATCGCGAGCTTATGATGTATTTGTAAACCACAAATTTACTAAATTTTAAATTTGTAAAGAAGAAAAGTGGGCATGGAGGTTTTTATAATTATTAAATGGTACGCATTTAAAAAAATCTGATGTGGTCAGCACATAACCGACCGCATTGTGTATTGTCTAGTTAAATGAAAGTGTTACAGAATATTATAAAAATGTCTGTTAAATACTTCTTTCCAATTTTTAGGACATTAGTAAGCTTATAGTTAACATATTTAGAAAAATGTAAATTTGGCTCTTAGTAGAGTTTCGCTTTGTGCTACCCGAATTCCCTGAAATGCTCGCCAGTTAGTTTCGGTAACAACCAGAACTCAAATATCAAATTTCAAGAAATTCCATCAATTTGTTCTGTATCTGAAAAATGTAAAATCGGAACGCAAATCAGTTCTCGAGCCCTGATCTTTCCAAAAAAGATATATGTTCATTGCTTTAATATGAGGAATTCATATATTAAATTTCAATGAAATCGGTTGATTATTTCTCTTTATATACACAAAAGTGTATGTTTGGCCCGTAGTAAACGTCTAGTTGCCGATGCCTGATCTTTCCAAAAAATTTACATGTTCATTGTTTTAATACGGGGAATTCATATATTAAATTTCAATGAAATCGGTTGATTATTTCTCTTTATATACATAAAAATGTATATTTGGCCCGTAGTAAACGCCCAGTTGCTGATGCCTGATTTCTTCCAAAAGTTAGGAATTTTTGTGTATGATCGAGCAAAGCTTATATATGAAATTTCAAGTAAATCGGTTAAATACTTTCTTCAAAATGGTGAAAAATGTAAAATCGGCCCGCAAATCCGTTTTCGAGCCCTGACCTTTTCAAAAAATTTATATGTTCATTGTTTTAATACGAGGAGTTCATATATTAAATTTCAATAAAATCGGTTGATTATTTCTCTTTATATACACAAAAATGTATATTTGGCCCGTAGTAAACGTTTAGTTGCCGATGCCTGATTTCTTCCAAAACATATGAATTTTTGCGGACGGTCGAGCTGAGCTTATATATAAAATTTCAAGTAAATCAGTTGAATATTTTCTTCAAAATGTTCAAAAATGTAAAATAGGCCCGCTAAAAAGTGTAGTTCCCGAGGCCTGATATATACCAAAAGTTGATCGATCCGTGCCATGGCAGAAACAAACTTACATATAAAATTTCATCAAAATCGGTTCAGCCGAACTTGAGATACACGCGTGCACACACAGACCGACAGACCGACAGACCGACAGACCGACAGGTTGCTAAAAATAGTTTATTTACACTTCCCTACTATGGAGAAGTACGTTCCCACCGAAAACTCGATATGCAAAATTTGTTGCCATCACATAACCTACCTATTGTTTACACAATACGGTCGGTAAAAAGAACACATTAACAATAAGAGGAACAAGAAGGTATAACAAATTTATGAACAAAATCTTGTTTCAAATTTTCTTTGTTTAGCAATTTTTATATAACAAATTTATATAATAATTAATAACAAATCTGCTTTTTTGAATAAGACATCGCTTCTTTATTTTAAATTAACATTTTTAAAGGTATTTTGTGCATTATAGGATTTTTAATATTTTACACTACGTTGACTGAATGAATTCCTTGGAATATGATGTTTTAAAGCAGTACCGTGGTTACTGTATTGATTTAGATACGCTAACAATTTAGAATCTTCTTTTGCGTTGTTGTTGTTATCAAAAATATTTCTTACCAAGGGCGAAAGGTGATCGTCATTTAAATTGGATATTGGTGTGTTTATATTGTTTGAAGTAATATCGTTTTCAAAATCTTGTGGTGCTTTGCTTGAATTCAAAACCTGCAATTTAACAAAAAACAAATTATTTGTAAAAAATTTAATAGTGGGAAGAATTAGTTTCTTATAGCACATACTAAAAACTGTTTGCATATGAAAAAAATTAGTATTTTAGAAAATGCACCAAGCTATGTATGATTAGGGTAAATGAAGGAGATATATGTATGACTACAGTGATTAACGATTATAAATGTTAAAAAAATAGTTAAAGAAAACAAAAAATTTAACTGTAAATGTTGAAGTGATATAAACACAAGTGAAAAAGAAATAATTTGAATTATAAAGGTAAACACGAATAAAAGAAGATATTCTTTAAAGTATCATACAAAATGCGTTTATTTGAGAATAAGTACACTTATGCATATTGTATGGTAATCCAATGGTTAAGTTCTCTTTAATTTGTTTTTCTTTTTATTTTTTTTTGATAAAAATGTGTTAAAAATCATCCAAAGACAAAAATAGGGGAAATCAAACTGTCATCAGGCTTATAAATAACGAGAGTTTTTAACACAACCCGAAACGCACCTGGATGGTCCCAAGCGCACATCATATGAAGAACGACCTTGCTCTGAAAAGTTTGTTTGATGTGTGTTTGATTGGCACAACCCAATAGCTGAGCTTAATATCATATCTAGATTTTACGCTGTTTTTCAAATCAATACTATAACGCCATTTAAATAAATAAATAAATAAATTCAATTTTGGTGTGTTTTCTAAATTTTTGTTTGTGAAATTTACATGTATAAATTTATATTGTAGATTGTAAACGCGTGGTAAATATGCAGCGCGGCCAGAGATCTATTGTGTCCCCACCATGAGATTCACCGCCCTGATGTACTCGAGCAATTTGTGGAGCACGGAGGACCTAGTATTTCCCTTCTCGCGCGAACGAGAACAACCCCCCCCCCCCCAGAAAGTGTACTAAAGTCTCCCTATCTTCCCCACACAACCTGCAAGTATCTTCGCTTTCAAGGCCCAGCCTGCTGAGGCACCGCCCAAGTCTACAGTGACTTGACAAGAGCGCGGTGAGGATTCTCACCTGATTCTAGCCCATTCGCATAATTTTCTTAAAACGTTTCTGGTCATAATCTGCCAGAAGCTCCTTGACTTCTCGCAGTACCGGAAGACTTCTGTAGCACTCCGACTGCCTCCTCTCTGATTCCTTTCTCAGTTCCCAACGAATAGTATGTGGTGCAATGCCGCGGAAGGGTTCCGTCCCCATAAGAGGTGTGTTAATCCCCTCTTCGCCAGCGCATCTGCTTCAAAACGAGCCAAGCGCTCCGATGGCAACCTGGCTGTACCACACAATCACTATGTCCTGTCTCCGATACCTCCTCTCAAGACTGAATTGCACGTACAATTCAATGGCATACACTTCTGCCTGAAACACGCTCGGAAACGTTCCTATAGGTTCGAAGAAGTTGGATCGACCCAAATACTCCCGCCCCCGTCCCCATGCAGGTTTTTGATCCATCAGTGTACCGCCAGGAGACCCAAAAATGTAGGTTCCCAACTCGTTCCGTTACCCAGCAACGAGGTACACCTTTTATCGAAGCTGAACTTTCTTACTATGGCACCCCTAGGGAGCGCCAGGAGCGAAACCCTCCTGAGAAGACTATTTCGAACTTCTGCACCCACGGCAGCTTTCGCTGCCATTCCAACAACGAGGTGCAGGGGAGTCAGTTCCAAAATCACATCCATTGCCGCGGTTGGGCACGTTCTTATACCCTTGTGATACAAACGCGTGCGAGTCTTTCCAACCGTTCCGGGTTTTTTCTAGCCGTACCAAGAGTCACCCTTCTTGCCCATGCCACTGCTCCATATGTCAGAATTGGCACAACCATCACGGTATACATCCAGTGCATGATGTACGGGGAGCATTCTCACGTCCTGCCATGCCCTGCTCACAATAAGCGCTTGGGTGGGCCGTACACATACAGCCTCCTCATGACTTCGCCAAAGAAGCTTGGAATCAGATATCACCCCCAGGTATTTGACCTCGGAGTTCCTCTTAACAACCGCCCCGCCCACACGGATTGTGTGCAGGTGCTGTAGCTGCCTTCTTCTGTTGAATGGCCACAGGGTCGTCTTGCTGGGGTTAAGTCTGAGACTTACACTCCCCTACCATGTCTGCGTCACCCGCAGGCCTCTCTGGACTATGTCGTAGAGAGTTCCCTCAAACTTCGCCCAAGGGATGATGGCAATATCATCAGCATCAGCCTGGACATTAATTTCCTGACGAGGAAGTTCCTCAAGGAGCCCTTCCACCACTAAACTCCACATCAGGGGAGACAGAACCCCACCTTGCGGGCACCCCTTTACCACACATGTCCTCAGGATGTTCTGCCCCACAGCACCCTCCACCACCCTCGTAGCTAACATGTTGGACAACTATAGAGACGTAATAGGACCCACGCTCCTCTTTTCCAGGGCTCTCGCGATTGCCTCATGTGAAGTTTTGTCGAAAGCCCCCTCGATGTCCAAGAACGCACATAGTTCTAATGTTCTTCCTAAGGTAAGCCGGAAGAGAGCGCTCTCTATCGACCTCTCCGCCCAATAGGCATGCTGGCCGTAGCTCAGCAGTCTTCTTATTTCACTCTAAACTCTTCCCAAGCGCCCTCCCGCCAAGCTCTGTTAAAAAGCCTGTGGACCTCACTCCTGGGACCCTCCAGTCGCGTGATCCACCAAGCCGCATGGTTTCCAAGGAGGAATGGTTTGTCTATCCCATACTGCCTGCGCATTTCTAACTGACAGCCTATTGATATGTCCTCTGTAAATCCAGGGTTTTGGTGTCATCGCAATGCCTAGATGTTTTTTGGTGAACATCCTAGCCAAAATAGCCGAAACTGCCCTGACATGATGGAGGTTCACCTGGGCTACCCCAGTTTTTTCCTCCTCCTTTGTCCCAAGAATCACCTTCTCTGGAGATCGCTCCTTGAGACTAAGAAGGATTAGCTCAAGCTTATCGGGTATCTTCGCTATCGAACGTGAAGGAGGGCGTTCTCCCCGTCTTCTTTGGCCTCCGCTTTTACAGCCTCAGCCGAAGATATCTTCGGCCCAATAGCTGCTGGTCCACTGCCATCCTTTTTGTTCATTCTGAATCCGTATCTTCCCGAAACGGTCCCACAAAACGTGGCCCTCTTTTTCAATGGCACCTGCTCATGCGCCATCAGTGGAAATCTTTAGCACCTGGCCCCCGCCGCCTTCCTTCTGGCTCGGGTGTAAGAATTTTTTCAGACACGGGTGCATATTCCTCTATTTTGAACCTGGAAAATCGATAAGGTTCCACTCCTGACATGAGGCTTGTGGATGTCATCTCTCATTTTCGCAGTCAGTTCTGAGCCTTTTCACGAGCTCAAATTGGATGACCTCTTCCAGGCCCTTTGCTGCCTCGCCAGTGATAGCCTCCTTCAACGTGGAGAGCTCCTACTGTGCCAGCATTACCGAAGGGTAGTCCCTCGCTAAAATTGCGACCTTTATGACTTTGACGATAGCGGCATAGCTAACACCTGGAGCAGGATATGTGGTGCTCGTTCCCGCCTCATCCATCTGCACAGTTCTTCTTCTTTTCGCTTGCTCTTCCTGGGGTGTCAAGGACTCCTGTCCTCTTTTGCCCCCATGAGCAGCCTGGGCCTGTTCTCCCACGCATATACTTCTATCTTCTGCCAATTTCCTGACTTCTTCGGGCGTTTTCCCCTGTTCCATGAAACGCAAGTACCTCCTTACTTCGGCACCACTGAGTCCTCGCCACTTCAGGTAATCCAGGTTTCCTGATTTTCCCAACGGTGGTAGGTAGGGTTGCTTACAGCTCCGAATAAGGAGATTCTCCCTTCGGTGTTTTCCCGTACTCCTTGTTTTTGTTGTTTCTCCATGTTTTCGTCCCAGGAGTAGCTAGGGAAAAGATAGTCCGCTTCGCCAGAGCCCCGCATGACGTAGTGAGGTTAAAAATACTCTCTGAGGCGACCTGGTATCAGAGATGTATAGTTTTATTTTCATTTAGCTTTATTTCCCATGTATTTTTTCATTTACTCGCTTCCTGTAATTTTTTTCTGCTTCTTCAGTCTTAAATCCTGCTATCAATACTGACGTATCGTCAACAAATATAGGCACAGTAACACCTTCTAAATATGGCTTGCATTTAACATCTATTATATAGGAAAACTCCCTTCCCAGCGATTTGTAGGTTGTGGATTAACGGAGACAATAGTGCACCGCGACCACGTATAAGTTTCTATTGTGCGCCCCCCTCCGAGTGCGTGGCAGGCAGGTGTGCAAGTAGTGCAACTTATAAGGACCGGAAGATCGTAACTCCGCCGCCGTTAGAGCAAAGCCCCCAGAACCTTTCGTCTCCTATGAGGAAGAGCACCACACTCCCCCAGGAGTGCACCGAGGTTTCCCCATACTCTGCACAGAATCTTCAAGTATCCTCATTTTCCAGGCCCATACGACTGAGGTGTCCCCTAAGCCTGCAGTGACCCGTCAAAATGCCCATCCCTATAATTTTCTTAAATCGTTTCTGGTCATAATCTCCCAGGAGCTCCTTGGCTTGCCGCAGCCCCGGAAGACTTCTCCAGCGCTCCAACCGCCTTCTTTCTGATTCCTTCCTTAATTCCCAACGAATAGTAAGTGGTCCGATTCCGCAGAAGAGCTCCGGCCCAAGAAGAGGTGTGTTTGCCCCCTTGCAAACACATTGTGTTGGGTCCCCTCCTTGCACCCAACACAGTGTTGCGCATACCCAACTCATTGAGCTTCTCAAGACAGCCCCATTCCGCCTCGTAGGATACTGAAAACGAGCTCAGCGCTCCGATCGCAGTCCGGCTATCTGACATAATCATTATCTCCTGTCCCCGATACCCCCTTTTTTAGACTGAACCCTACGCACAATTTAATGGCGTGCAACTCGGCCCGAAACAAACTGGGAAAATTTCCCATAGATTCGGAGAATTTGGTTCTTGGCGCAAACACCCCCGCACCCGTCCTCATAACGGTTTCTGACCCATCTG